AAAGGAGGGTTTGGAACAGCCTCTCAAAACAGCCAGCAGGCTTGGGGTGGGGTGAGATCCATGTTGGGGCAGGACTATGAAGGAGCCACAGAGTTGAAGGTGCAGGAGGCTCTGTCTGGTGATTCATCAGTCTGAGAAAACACCTTGGCAACTAAAGCTGAAAGAGGAGACCTTTAGGTTAGATATTAGGAAGAAATTCTTCCCCAGGAGGGTGGTGGGGCCCTGGCACAGGTTGCCCAGAGAAGCTGTGGCTGCCCCTGGATCCCTGGAAGTGTCCAAGGCCAGGTTGGATGGGGCTTGGAGCAACCTGGGTTAGTGGGAGGTGTCCCTGCCCATGGCAGAGGGTTGGAACTAAGTGATCTTTAAGATCCCTTCCAACCCAAACCATTCTGTAATTCCACAATTCTATGACTCAATGGTTCTCTGTTTCTGTGGTTCTCTGATTCTATGACACTTGCTCTGTCCTTCTCACACTCACACCTCCCATCCTGCCCCGTGTACTTCCACCAGATCTACACAACTGGAACATCAGATATTAGGAAAAAATTCTTCTCTGTGAGTGTGGTGGGGCCCTGGCACAGGTTGCCCAGAGAAGCTGTGGCTGCCCCATCCTTGGAAGTGTTCCAGGCCAGGTTGGACATGGCTTGGGGTAACCTGGGCTAGTGGAAGGTGTCCCTGCCCATGGCAGGGGGTTAGAGCTGCATGATCTTGAAGGTCCCTTTCATTCCAAACCATTCTATGATCTAAGTCAAATCACTCTCCAAATGCACTGGATGAATATTCGAGGATTTGGGAATTCTCTCTTGTATCATTCCTGGTTTCTAGTCTTGTTCCACAATGACATGAATCCTTCCCCAGAGCTGTCTCCATTTCAGTTCTAGGTGGGTACCTGTGTCAAGAATTTCCTTTGCAAAATGTCCTGGAGATGTAATAGTGGAGATTATTTGAAATATATAAACATTCACTGAAAGATTGATTAAACATTGGAACAGGGAAAGGGTGGAATCCCCACCCCTGGAATTGTTCAAAAAACAAGTAGGTGTGGCACTTGGGGACATGGTTTAGTGGGAATGGTGATATTGGGTGGAAGGTTGGATTTGATGATCTTGGAGGTGTTTTCCAACCTTGATGATTGTATGATTTGAAGGCCACAATTTCCCCATTCACAACTTTAATAGGTTTACAGAAAATAAATATTGCACTGGTGTTTTCACCGTATTTTAATAGGATTTTATAATATTGCTTTTTAAAATTAGAATCTAAATTCAGTTTATAATTTTTAAGGATGCTCTTAGCTATGACAGCAATAAAACCCTCTTATTTGTGGAAAGTCTGGGTAAACATTTCTGGGGTGCTCTGAAGCACAGAGGGTTTGTGTCTTCGGGGAGCATCCAAAGAAGTCTCAGCCCAACCTCTAAATGAACCAGAAAACTTCAACAACTCCTGCAAAACCAAACAGTTTTAAAGTTCCTCCAAGGAAGACAAGAGTAAAAGTGACTCTCATTTAAGAGGACTCATCTGCATGTTGGAGGACATTCCAAGAGTCCAGCCTGGGGAGGGTGGAGATGGTGGTAAATTGGCTTTTCCATCACGGTGGTTCCAGGACGGCAAGAAGTCTTTTGCAATCATTGAATCGTAGAATGATTTGGATTGGAAGGAATCTTAAAGATCATCCAGTCCCACTGTCTGTCATAGGGAGGGACATCTTCCACTAACCAGGATTTAAATGTCATTGGAAGTCTGTAACAGGAATTAGAGAGGCCTTCATAGTCATTGAATCATGGAATCGTGGAATGGTTTGGGTTGGAAGGAACCTTCAGGATCATCCAGTTCCAACCCCCTGCCATGGGCAGGGACACCTTCCACTAGTCCAGGTTGCTCCAAGCCCAATCCAACCTGGCCTTGGACACTTCCAGGGATGGGGCAGCCACAGCTTCTCTGGGTAACCTGTGCCAGGGCCTCCCTACCCTCCCAGGGAAGAATTCCTTCCTAATATCCCATCTATCCCTATTCTCTGGCAGTGGGAAGTCATTCCTTGTGTCCTGTCACTCCATCTCTTGTCCCAGGTCCCTCTCCAGCTCTCTGGGAGCATCTTTAGGCATTGGAAGGGTCTCAAATGCCTCCTTGAAGCCTTCTCTTCTGCAAGCTGAACACCCCCACCTCTCCCAGCCTGGCTCCATGGGATCAGTTGGTTAAGACTATGCAAAAGCTGAAAAAGTAAAATCTGGATCATCCAAAAATCAGATGGGAGGAACAAGAGTCACTCCCTATGGGGAAAAACCCGAGTGATTTGGTTGTCATTTTTTTTCTGGGTAGCAATTACGTCCATCCCTTGTGTTCAAAAACGTGTTTGTGGGGAGAAGAACATTTCCATTCCTGTATCTATTTGTTGTTTTCTGAGGGGGAAAAAAAAGTTATGGATAGAGGTTTTCGTAGCCCAAAGCTTTGCTTTCATCATCTTGAAACAGGGCAGGGAGAAAGGCAGAGATGTTTGGCCTGTTTTCCTTTTTAGGGTGTGTATTTGGGGGGTGGATGAACAACTCTTGGAGTGTGGGATAAAATATCCACCATGATGAGACCTTTTTTTTCCAAACACTGCAGGAAGTTGTGTGGGATATTCCCTATTTGTAAACAAGAAATAACGACTAGATGAAACTCCCTAGAAAACATCTTTTCCATGGCACTGACTGAGAGGGATCTTCTCTCAGCTATGATTCCAAGGAAACCTGTGACTGCTGGAAGAAATAATGATTTTACAGGGATGAAAAATGTCTTTTTTCCTCAAAGTTGTATCTGTGAGAACTCTTCAAGTTTTAATTAAAACCCAGAAAGTCTGAGGACTGGATTAAAAATATTTTGGAAAAAGAGAATTTTCAAGTTTTAACGGTGAGAAGTTTTTATTTTTTAGTAGCTCTATCCAAAAAACTACTTTATTCTTTTAGCATCTGAAGGCTTTCTGGGTGAAAAATGTGAGGAGTTATAGAAGGAAGGTTTTTTGATGGAAAACTAGGAATCCTCTGTAAAGAGGGATTGTGTTCACAGAATCACAGCATATGCCAGGCTGTAAGGAACCGAATAAAATTAATTCAGCTTTTCTCTCTCATATTTTTTTTTTAATTCTGAATCCTTTTGATATGGAGAAACCTCCAGAAGTATAAGCTGGATTTGCATATTCTTTCTTCTGTTTATTTGCAGAAATGAAATCTGGGGGACAAGCATTAAAAGTGACAAATTAGTAAAGAAAACAACCCAATGTTCTTTCCACTCTCTATAAATAAATCCTGGGGATATGGAAAGGAAATCTGTGAAATCATTCACTGTAAATATAAGTTCAGGGCAGTGAACAGAAAGGAAAATTTAGACATAATCCAGCATATGCCTATTGACAGGTCTCCATGGGAAGATCTCCGTGTTAAGCAGAACCAGCTTTGACGGGAATTCACCATAAATGACACCCCAACATATGTTAAAATATAAATTAATGCAGCAGAAATAGAGACAGAAGATCACTGTGACACCAGATTTTCCCAAATCCTCTTCTCTTCACTGATTGATATGTTAGTTATGAAGTTGAGAACACAACAGCTGTGAATAATGTTTCTATAATGTGCTAAATCACGACCTATCCAATCCCTGGAAGTGTTCAAAGCCAGGTTGGACAGGGTTTGGAGCAACCTGGTCTAGTGGGAGGTGTCCTTGCCCACAGAAAAGGGTTGCAACAACATGATCCTTAGGTCCCTTCCAACACAAACCATTCTGTGATTTTCCAGTGTACCGATTGCTAATTCCACCACATTTAAGGAAGACAGTTGGACTCAGAGGTCAGTGCCACTCCAGGACCACCAGGATGCACAAAACCCAAGGGTTGGATTTTTGAGGAGCAACACTGGAACAACTGATGATGCTACCCAGGGAAGTGCTCAGCAAACTGGGGTAGGGAATTCAGGAAAAAACTCTTATTGGAAAGGGTTGTTAAGTAATGGGATAGACTTCCCAGGGAGGTGGTGGAGTCCCCAACCCTGGAGGTGTTCAAGGAAGGCCTGGACGTGGCACTCAGTGCTCTGGTCTGGGTGGGAAGGTGGGGATGGGGCACAGGTTGGACTCGATGACTTGGAGGTCTTTTCCCACCTCAGTGATTCTGGGGTTCTGTGAGTTGGGTTCCTCATGGCCACATTAAAATTCCCAAAGCCAACACCAAGAAAAACTCATGGATTTTATTGTGACAGAGCTACAGGAAAAGCAAGACCATGGGGAAAATGGCCACAGTGTTTATTTTTCTCATAAAACATTTCAGTACCAACATCTTTTTCAGATGAGACATAAAACTTTGAGGGCTTTGGTAGAAGACTGAAAAATGTCAAGTGATAGTTTGGGATTGGAGTGAAGGGGAAGGAGGGGCTGTTTGCTTTGTTCTTAAAAAAATAAAGGTAAATCCCCTGAAAGGAGACATTTCTCATAGAAATATCACTGCTTTGAAGCCAGTCAAAGGAGCTGTTTTTTATGAGATAAATATTGAGATCAGCCTGAAACTGAGTTTGAACAGAGAGTCTGAGACCTGCCTGAGCCACTGGAGGTTCAGTGACTCATGTGTCACCCAGGACAAACCCCACAGTGGGCTGGGAGCAATCTGGCATAGTGGAAGGTGTCTGGGCCCATGGCAGAGGGCTTGGAATGAAATGTTTTAAGGTCCTTTTCAACCCAAACCAGCCTGTGATTGTAAAAAACAACCCACTGGAGGAGAGATGTTCAGCCTTTGCTCTCCAGGGCTGCAGCACAGTCTGCTCTTAGGGTTTTAAAAATACATATTATGGTTTCATACCTGAAGCTTCCCCCAGCTCCTGGAAATTGGGAAAGGATTTCTCCTTCCCAATGATTGCTCCCATATCTTTATCTCCTGTATCTCCAAACCTCCTTACAGAGGAGGGAGAGAAAAAGTATGGGCTTAACCTTGACCCCAAAATGTCTGGCTGCCCCCTCCAGTTAGTGGTTAATGCAGAGCCTTTGTTGTAAGAGAGTTTTAATTAACTTATTTAAACCCAGATATTTAAAGCCAGCTGTCTGGAGACCCTGCTCTGCATGCACTGACCAGGTCAGTTCTCAGCCTCCTCCTCAGAGCAGAAAACAGCCTGAACTGCCTCAAATCCTGGGATCAGTTTTGGGCCCCTCAGGACAAGAAAGACATTAAGGGGCTGGAGGGTGTCCAGGGAAGGGAAAGGAGCTGGGGAGGGGTCTGGAGAACCAGGAGCAGCTGAGGGAGCTGGGGGGGCTCATCCTGGAGAAAAGGAGGCTCAAGGGGGACCTTCTTGCTCTCCACAACTCCCTGGTGGGAAGTTGGAGCCGGGGGGTGTCGGGCTCTGCTCCCAGGGAACAAGGGACAGGACGAGAGGAAATGGCCTCAAGTTACACCAGGGAAGGCTGATACTGGAAATTAAGAACAATTTCTTCACTGAAAGGTTTGTCCAGCCCTGGCCCAGCTGCCCAGGGCAGTGGGGGAGTCCCCATCCCTGGAGGGATTTAAAAGCCATGTGGATGTGGCACTTGGGGACATTGGTTAGTGGTGGCCTTGTCAGTCCTGAGTTAATTGTTGGACTCGATGATCTTGGAGGTCTTTTCTGACCTTAATGATTCTATAATTCCACATTTCCATGTGATGTTTATCTGTAGCACATGAGCCTGTGGTTAAGAGTAGCTGCAGTTCACATGTTTCCCATGTGACCAGCGTGGAGTTTCCCCAGTTTTGCTGACCTAGAACACACGAAAAATAGACATTACCTTCTTTTCTCTTTTCATCACAGAAAAGATCTGTTTTCCAGACGCTTGCAATATCATCCCTGATTTTTTTCCATGCCCTGTAAGCTCTGAAAATGCAAAGGATACCTAAGAAAGCTGCCATGGTTCACTTGTGTGGGATGAAATGGCAGAGGAAAAGGTATTTAAAAAATGAGAGCAGAAGTTGTGGGGGATGGGAGGTCTTGAAAGGACTGGAGCTGATTCCTCTCCTGGCTCTTAGCTGGGATCTGAAAAATCTCTGTGGGTTAATGAGGAGCAGTCACGTTGAAATGTCCCTTATGTACATGACAATTTAAGACACCACCTGTCTAGAGAAAAATATTATGGGATATCAATGTCCAGTGTCTGAAAATCACAAAGGAAGAGACATTTTCATGGAGACTGAAGAGCAAGAAGGAGTTTTCTGGATGGTGAAAGTCTTAAAAATGTGTTGGATACCTAAACAGGCTACAAAGAGAAAAACTATGGAAGAAACAATGGGAAGAGAGTGTAAAAGAGAAAAATTAAGGAAGAAAAGAGAAAAATTAAGGAAGAGAAAAATTAAGAAACAATTGGAAGAGAGTGTTTAATTCCCAGCTACTTCAAACCATCATCCCAGGAACTATCAGAGCACCTGGTTGACCAGTAACAGCATCCTTTTCTCTAATTCATTTACTTTCAAAGAGCAATTAATTGATTTTAGATCCTAGATTGGTTGGCTTTGATCCTTTAATTGCTTCTCTTCACGTCCTGAAAGTGTAGCTTTGCTTTCTTCAGGGATCTCCCTTCAGGAGTTGCTTTTAGTACAGGATGTTTATATTATATATATGTTTTATTTATATTTAGCACAGGCTTAGTGGGATTGCAACAGGGAGATGTCACTTAAAATGCTCTGGGCTAATCAGAATCAATGTTTTGGACCATATCTTTAGTTTTTGGGGGGTTATTTTATCTGTTCCTTACATAAGAAAAGTCTAAAGACATAGATCTCAGGATGGATGGCCCCAGACTTTTCATTTTATGTCACCAAAGTCCACCAAAAATCCATATTCCTCTGAATGACCAACTCACACTGTCAAAAAAATCATCTGGAATTGAGACACAAAGGCAAATTTCCAAGCCTGTAACAAGTGTTATGTGTCTTAACTTCTCCTGCACCACTATTCAAATCCTCACAAAAATCCTAAAAATAAACGTAGAGAACTCAGATGTGTCACAGGAGGAGTTGATAAAACCAGTATGTAAAAGCCTTTTTTGGAACAAAGGGAACAATCCAGAGGGCAGATCCATGGAGAATGGCCCAGGAAACGAGATAAGCTTGGAAGTTCCCAAAATCTTTTCCTCAGGAAGGCTCAGGAACTGACTGTTGTGGGAAGTGCTAAGTGTGGGAAGAACAACAACATTCCTACGTAAGTGGATCAGGGTGGACCCAGGTGGAACTGCCCATTTCTTATGGCAAAACCTGGGATCTCGGACCTCATGAGGTCATGGAGTCAGGGAATATCCTGAGTTGGAAGGGCCCACAAGGATCATCGAGTCCAACTCCTGGCCCTGCACAGACACCCCAACAACCCCACCCTGTCCCTGAGAGCGTTGTCCAAATTCTCCTGGAGCTCTGGCAGGTTTGGGGCTGTGCCCATTCCCTGAGGAGCCTGTTCACTGCCCAGCCACCCTCTGGAGGAAGAACCTTTTCCTTTCCATCTCTGTGAATTTTATTATCAAAGGCCAGCTTTGATTTCCCTGCTGCTTTGATCACTCTCAGCCTTCCATGCTGTGTCCCTGTGAAAGCTGAGAGATCTCATTCCCTCCTTCTCAGTGAAGAGCTGATGGAAGCAGAAGGTCCTACTGACACACTGATTTTCCTCATCAAAACTAGTGAATTTGCCTAATTTTTTTTTAACCCGTGGCTCATGGAATTGTCACCTCAGGCTTTTGTGTTTGTTCAAGGAGAAGAATCCAGCCCAAAGTCACCGTAAGAATTCACGGAGCATGTGAAACCAGACCAATCACAGGGGTAGAACTGAGCCTAAATGCTGCATATTTTTCATTCTCCCAGCCTAAAAAATCAATAATCCGTATCTGGAAAATATTAGGAGGGCTTTCTTTCATCAACAAATGGTGGGTCCTTCTTGCAAGTGCAATATTTTAGGTTAATTCATCCACCATCAGTAGGATTTCTACTCCCTGCTCTATCTCACTCTTGAGAATTTTAACACTTCCTAGTGTCTGTATTTGTAATTTTTATTTATTGGAGTTGAATGCCTTCGAATTTCCCCAAAATTCTCTTGGGTAACTAGAAAAATAGTGAAGTTTTCAAACAACAATCATTTTGCATTTCTCATTTTCTTAATATCTGGCAGTTGGGGAAGGAACAATCCCTCCGTATCTCCCTCAAAGGTGTGAAGAATAATCTTTTTTATATTTTGGGGTTCTTTTGTTTTTCTATTAATAGCGACAAAAAATAGTTCAGTAACCATAATTTCTTGCCTGGTTTATTCCAAGGACCAATTTAACCTGAGTGTCTCAGTTTGTGTTCTCATCTATTCATATCCTTCTGTTCCGCTTTGAACTCTGTTGGGAGAGATCTGTGGCAACATCCATTGCATCCTGGCAATTCCCTGCTCTGGGAATTCCTTGGAATGGCTCAGAATGGTGTTATATTCCTGAGCACGTTGCTCTGATCCCATAAAACCATAGAGAGGCACCTGCCAGCAGGTGGGATTCCCTGTTTGCTGGGGTGTTTATTAGCTGGCACCTTTCCTAGACTTGTCTATATTTAATTCAGGATGTTCTCCTTCAATTCACCGGCGTGCAATAAAGTCCACAAAGCATCAAGACACAAAGAGAAATGTAGAACTTCGTTTTCTGCAAATAATCACCCTCATTTGCGTATTTTGGGGAGCACTGGGTGCTCTGAAAGCAACAAAACCCAGGAAGACTTGGTAAACCAAGGTATCTTGGGGTGCAACAATTGTGGGTTTGCCAAAATTGTCACTCAGTGGTAACACCCAGCAGTGCCAATGACACACAAAGAAGAGGAAACACAATGGGGATAACTAAAAATAACACTCTCCTGTAAATGCCAGACTTATTGCCTTTGTAGGAAGGACAAAACGAGCCTCTGAAGGCACCATCCTTCTCAGGCGTCTGGGCAAAGCAACCAGTGGGATATTTTTGTTTGGTTTGATGTTTGTTTGGAGTAAAACCAAACTGGAACAGGAAAACTGCTGCTTGTTTGGACAGTGGCTTGGTTAGAGAGAGGCACAAGGAATAGATCCTTCTTTGGGCAGGTTAAATCCCATTACTTGTGGGAAGTTGTCAGAATAAAATAGTTTGGTTTCAAAGAGAAGCCTTCATGAAGGTCAGGTCCCACAGAACTTTTTGGAGGAGGCATTGGAACAGGTTTCCCAGAGGAGCTGTGGCTGCCCCATCCCTGGAAGTGTCCAAGACCAGGTTGGATGGAGCTCTGAGCAACCTGAAAGGTTGTGAAAGGAAGTGGAAGGTGTTCCTGCCCAGGGCAGGGGGTTGGAACTTGATGATCTTGAAGTCCCCTCCAACTTAAACCCTTCTATGATTTCATGATCTTACTTTAGGGAAGGGCACACAACAGCAAATCCTGGCTGTGATGGTCCATCCTGTTCCATTCTGGGATGCTTGGCCTCTGCCAATGGGAATTCAACCAGGACAAACCCAGTGTGTGGTTTGGAGAACAGCACAGGCTAAGGACTATGTCCAGAAGATATTTTGGATACAGTCACCTTCTTTTGGGAGTTTGGGAATGCAGATACAAGTTGAGCTGAGGGACTGGAAAGAATCCTGGGAGATGCAACCTTGTGTTCAGAGGTACAGTTGTCTCCCCCTTTCCATGTGTTTGCCATCACAATACACCAGTTTACAGGGAGAAGTCGCCTTTTCAGGAATGCAGGTGGTGGTTTATCTGATTTTTATGGCTTTTTCTTATCATTATAGCTCATTTCAATGGATTCTCAAATAAATCCTCTGGTTTTAGCACTCCCCAAGGCCGTAGAGTGTTTTTCAGTTCCCATAACCCTGACACAAGCTCTGACTCTTTGTTTCCAGGGTTTTCTGAGGAGGGGACACCAAAGATTCAGGGAAGGCTTCTCCAAGCCAGCAGCCAAGAGACAGATTCCAAAAATGAGGAATTGCGTCTCCTTGACCCCCAGGTTGTTCTGCTCCATTGGTCTGGGATGCTTTGGTCTTGAAGTTCCCTCCTCTGCCAGATGCTGCTTTCAAAAGATTTCCATTTGAAGCTTAAAAATATAGGAATATTGAAGTGAGGGCTGGGAAGCAAAATCAGTTCCCAAAAGTCAGCAAAAATGTCAGAGAGGGGAAGGAAAGGGAAAGAGGAAGGGAGGAGGGAAGAGAGGAAGGAGGGAAGGAATGAAGGAAGAGAGGAGGGAGGAAAGGAAGGAGGAAAGGAGGGAAGGAGGGGAGGAAAGGAGGAAGGAAGGAAGGAAGGAAAGAAAGAAAGAAAGAAAGAGAAAGAAAGAGAGAGAAAGAAAGAAAGAGAGAAACAGAGAAAGAAAGAGAGAAGAATGAAGAAAGAAGGAAAGAAAGGAAGGAAGAAAGAAAGAAAGAGAAAGAAAGGAAGAGAAAGAAAGAAGGGAAGAAAGAAAGAAAGGAAGAAAGAAAGAAAGAGAAAAGAAGCAAAA